CCCAGCGTCTGCAGGGACACCCAGCCAGCGCGGGCAGACAGGCGGGTGTATCCGCGGCCTGGCACACGGCACAGGCAGCCCTTGGGGAGCCCAGAGAAAAGAAAGTTACAGCAGAGTCCGCCCTTGTTACCACAGAGCCCTGTCCCTCTGACCCCTCTGTGTCCCAGTTTGTGGGCCCCCAATAAGCCCTCAGCAACCAACTCTTAGCCACCCCCCTCACCATCACTCCCCAGTGTTTTGTTCCCCAGCCGGGCAAACACAGCGCCTTAAACTGGGGCAACAATTTGGTTCCCTGCGGAATTGGCATCCTGGAGTCTTTCCCCATTTACCCCTCTAGGGGGCCACTTGCCCCTCGGCTTCTCCAGCTGCGGGTCCTGCATTCACTGCTTCTGGCCCGCCCGTTCCCTCTCACAGTCTGCTAATCTCTGTGGCTGGCGCTCCAATTCCCAGCGCTTCAAATCCCAGTCACTGGTACAAGTGACCCTGCTCAGGTCAGTCTGGAAGCAGGAAGAGATGTGACAAAGTTTATAATATTTCTATGAAGCCGATGTGTGCCTCAGTTTCCCTGGTATGCTCCATTGTTACTTGGGGGGCGGGGGGGGAGTCTGCTTTCGGCAGAGGCTCAGAGGCACAGGTGTGAATGGTGTCGAGCTGTCTGGGGCCTTAGGTCCCATCTCAGGGGAGGATCTGAGAAGACAATGACAGATTCAATCACCAGGACTTTGATATCTCTGGGTTTCTAAGGAGAGGTGGGGAAGTCCCTATGCCTCTGGGCCCTTGGTTGCTAGGTATCAAAGTCCAGGTGACTGGCCTTGGCCTCGGCCTCCCGGCGCTCCGTGGGTCTAGGCACACACATGCTTCATACGAACATGACGAAACATTCTCCCTGGGTCACATCTCTCCCCACTTTGAGACCGAACAGAGCAGGGACCTGGCTGTAGCAGCGGGAGCTGGAGCTGGATGGGGAACTAGGTCTCGAGGCCCCGGCTGCTCTTTCTGCCCCTGCTTCAGTCACTCTCTGAGCCTCTTGGAGCCCTGCTTGGGTCTACGACCGATTGTCTTTCTCCAGCCGTGCAACCAGCTGCCCCTTGTTGAGCTTCCCCACATGTAACGTCTCTCCCTGCACGGGCTTGCGATGTCCCTCTCAGGGAGACGGTTTTCTTGCTGTTTCCTTTAACAACCCTTGTTTTACTGCCGTACGTCACTTCCTGCAAAGTACTTCTTGTGCATTCAGCATCCCACCGCTGCCACCACCTGTGTATTAGCCTGCTCAGACAGCAAACACACCTTCCCCCCCACTAGGTAACAATGGCGCTTAGAGGGGAAACTGAGGCACACATAGGCTTCATACAAATATTACGAAAATATTCCTACTTCATCACACACACCCCACCTCAGAACAGGTGCACTCCCCTCCCCACATGTGTGACTCTCCCCCCACCCCAGAGCAGGAGCACTTCCCTCCCCATGTATGACCCCCCCATCTCAGAACAGGTGCACTCCCCTACCCATGTGTGACCCTCCCCCACCCCAGAGCAGGAGCACTCCCCTCCCCAAGTGTGACCCCCCCAGGGCAGGAGCGCTGCCCTCCCCTATGTGTGACGCCTGGCACAGGAGAGCTGCCCTCCCACTGAGTCACCTCTGTTCCGACTCCCGCTCCCAGGTGGCTGCCCGGCACTGCACTCCTTC